CCATAATTGGTTAAAGAAAATTGTGATAAATAAAAAAGTATACCAGTTTCATTTAAGGACCAAAGGATTGACAGCCGTCCCATATAGATTGCAAAATAGTTGGGAAGAGATTATTGACATACCGATTCCATGGCAAACTGATACGCAAAACGACGCCGGATTCAAAACTTATAATTTTTCTAGAAAAAATTATTATACTAAATTCTTGCTACCAATAGAATGTTATTTATATGGGGGAAACAATCTTCCCAGCTCTGCAGATTTTGCTGCGAAGAAACATTAGATCATTTGTTTTGGTACTGTCCATTTGTAGCTTGTTTTTGGTCACAGGTCCAGGAATTTACATTTTAGTCATTTAGCAGACGCTCTTATCCAGAGCAACTTACAGTTAGTGAGTGCAATATTTACCTGGAGATTACAATATTTACCTGGAGCTAACCCTGCAGATAGCACTACTGGGTGATATGAAAAGTCACAGTCAATCGATAAATAATATAATAATACTTTTAGCAAAAAAAATTATTTTCAATCTGTAGAAACAATGAGAATACAAGGGTTCAGAACTTTTGTGAAACATCACAGTACAGTTGAAAAATATATGGCAAATAGAAATCTAATATGGTGTTAAGAGATAGATGGGAGGGGTTGAATGGAGTTGAAGGTTGGGACAAATAACAACTAATAACAAGATAACTAATGTACAACATACTGTGTCCATAATAAGTATATAGGTTATAGGTTGAGACATTTTGTGAAAGAGCACAGTTTGAAAGATATGGCATATAGAAGCAAATCGGATGGACATCATGAAAATGATTGGAGAGGTTGAGGGTAGAGGAGGTTCAGGAGTAAAAACAAACAAAATAGAACTTTTGTAAAAATTGACTGTGTCCATAAAATGACGTGGCCTAAAGCTGATTGATATACCATGGTGATATGAGTTTGAATGGTAATAGGGGCTTTGGAAAGAATCACTGCAACATGGCCTGTACTTGAATTTAATGGTTCACCACTTCAACCACTGTGCTCTTTCACCTGACAGACCATGGTGATGGAAGTTGACTGTATCACTAGCTCTAATGAAGACGGACAGACAGACAAATTCACTTTCAACTCTCTAAGCCCTGCAGCGTCCATATTGCGACACCTCGGACTGGCTTAGATTAATGTTTACTTTTCTTTATTTCGAAGCATGCCGCTCCCTAGCTCTCCCTACATTGCGTCACCCTTGAGCCTTTGGGTGGATTCCATCCACATGCACTAACTCTACACAGGCCAGCGCAGTTGATCGTTATAGCATATTCATTTGGTCCCTGACATGTTGAACACCTCTCCAGGCATTGTAAAGATCTGACTATATGTTTGGACCTACATAGAATGTATCTGGAATGGACCCTCGCGCCCGGGTCTCCCCAGCGAGCCACAGAGACAAGATGGAGATCAAGTCCTCGGCTCAGAGAGAGAAGATCTAGAGAAGATTGGCTCAATTGAACTCTTCTAAACTGAATTGACTGTCTGGATTAAGGCTAATCTGGATTAACAGATGTGGAGCTACTAAAAACTTTCCCTGATCATAGCCAAGATCACAGCTGGAGATCGGCTTGCTAGTAGGGATGGGCATGAGTACTCGAAACGGACATCAAAAGCTCGATCTTTAACCAGAGACCCAATTTTTTTCGGATACTGTAAAACTATTTGGTGGAATGTGCTTTGTTGCTGCCTGAATGGGAAAGTGACATTTTTAGCAGAACAGTGGTTTCTGTGAGCTACTGTGCTGTGTGTTAAAAGGCAGATGGATTTGACTGCGATATCTGTGTAAAAGGTAGGCTAGCGGCCACGACACTGAGGGTCACTTCCATCACCAATGATGACTGAAACAGTGCTTTTCACCAGGCAACCATCCAATATACCACCAATGTGTAGGCTAGCCCATTTCCTTGACCAGAGTGGAACTCTGGTCTAGCTGTATAACATTCACCCACCTTGTGAGTTATTTGCTAGCCCGTGACTGTGCCTGTTTGGCGACACTTTTCCCACGACCAAAGGTAAATCCGTAATCGGTAGACGGTTCTGATTGAAAACTCATTGTTTGCGTCGCCAAGCAGTGTTCAAAAAAGTATTAAATCCAGTTGTTAGATGCTACCACCCCCTTCCAAATGAAAACCAAACATGGACTCCATGCTGTCTCGCTTAGCGCGCACACCTGTCAGTGTTTCACACCGGTTTGTCTAACTAAATCAGCCTTGCAATACTGGCATCATGGTGCCGCACAAGAAGTAGAACGACGCGTGTACGTGCAACATTGACATCCATGTTTGGTTTTGATTTGGAGGAGGGTGGTAGCATCTAACGATTGGATTTAATTACTTCCTGGGCACTGCTCGACGATGTAAAAAACACATTCCTTATCAGCCCCGTCCACGAACTACGGATATACTCTCAGACTTGGGAAAAGCATTGCCAAACAGGCACAGGTACAGGTCAGCAAATATATTGCATGCCTCTCCAATGGTAGACAGAATGTTACTGTTAAAATAACTGTACTTACTGTTATTATATGTATACATTATGGCGAGCACTGTAGGCCTAGTACCCACCTGGATTGATGCATGCCACAGCAGCCATTTTGTGCCGGAGCACACGTCCCACATCGATTGTGACAGTGGAGAGAGAGATGACAATGGGGCGACCACCACTGTAATCAGCACTTTACACAAGGCTCCTTGGACCACAGCCAACCAGCCCCTGTGCCCTGACACAGCTCTGTTTATCCCTGTCCCTCACTCGCTCTGTTGTTGATCCCTATTCGATGGCCCTAAAGTTATGGAAAGTAGTTTGTCTGCAGTCTGTTTGACAGTGTTAAATAATCAACCTTCATCATCTGTATACTGACATCAGGTGAGTCTGGACCATTCAGCACTACCCACATTTTACATTTACATTTACATTTTAGCAGACGCTCTTATCCAGAGTTACTTACATACATTATTTTAATTTTTTTCATACTGGCCCCCGTGGGAAATGAATACAGGCAGGACAGTACAGGCTAACAAATATAATACCACGTCCACTATTAATGACAGCAGACTGCCTGGGGGATGGGATTTTATGTAAGTGTATCACAACACCAAGGTTTGCTGCCAGAAAACAAAAACTATGTATAGGCATAGCCTGTTTGGTATGACCTGGTATAATAATGATTGACACTGCTGTGGAGTCCCTTAGTTCAAGTGGAGGCTAGTTTAATTCATTAATATGAGTAGCAATAGAATCAGAGCCACTTCGCAGAGTGCTAACGTTTCATTGTACAGTACTCTTGCTATCTCATGTAAAGTTCATACAGTACTGGTGCGTTCCCTTCACTTGTCTAAAGAAAGAGACAAGTTTGTAACCTGTTCAACAAGTTTGGTTTGAGGAATCTGAGGGAGCTTTGTGCATGAAATACGGTTTTAAACACAAGACAAAATATTGGCTCTAGGGAAGCCATGTCCAATTTTTCCTTTAACAACAGTAGCTAGCTACGTTAACTAACGTAAGGTAGTTTTCCTTATACCAACTTCAAACAAGTTCGTGTGAGGGCACACTTCCAATGGTTGATAAAAGTGACATATTTCAGTGTATCAAAATTCCTAAGCATAATAACATGATTAGTTAAGTAGTTAGCTACATTCAATCAATATTTTATTTTACGCCTAGCAGTAGCTCAATGTTCTAGCAATATCATCCAAACAAAAATAACATGGACTCTCTGGGAAAGCAGAGCAAGGCTGTTTCGGGTGGCTAACGTTACGTCGCTTACCTCTCACCATCATGGGGCAAAAAAACATCTACTTTCTCCTCTTTTCTGTCCCCAGTGAATGTCTCCCTGGCGTTATGCAGTCGTCTCGTATTGGCAAAATTATGTAATTCCGAGAAGAATGTCTAGTTTAGTAAACTGGACCTGTTGCTGACAGCTGGGTCACACGAACAACATGGCTGACAGGCGGGTGAGGGTGGACTGTGCGCGAGAACGCCTACGTTTGACTAGGAGGTGGAGAGAGAGAGCGCCGGGGGCGCGCGCATGGAGTTGCCCTAAACGCTGATCTAAGGTCAGTTTCAGCGGTCAGTTATTGTGCGGTAGGGGCGAGGAGAGGGACGGAAGTAAAACTGTTACATAGACATCATGCAAAACTACAAATCCCTGCAAGCTCCTGCACGTCATCTCTAGCTGACACCTTTGCTAACAGGTATTGTGTCAATTTAAAACTTCCACATGACAGTTCACAGAATTGTCCATTTAAAGAAATGTAGCCACTTTATGAATTACTACATTTAGTTAACATTAGATAGTTAATCCAGAGATTCTTACTTTTGCCTCGATTCAGCAGTCTCTTCCAGATCATCATGGCATGTGCAGTTCTTTATGACAGCCACATTAGCAGCTAATTAGCATTTCATTTCTGAGGGGGGAATAAATTGATAAAAGTCACCTTGTCCAAGAGAGATTTACACAGTTATCAAAACATCACGCCAGGGTAAGCCTACACGAAACACAGCCCTTATTTTAACTTTTTCTAAAATCCCCTATGGGAAAAATGAATGGTGGAAAAACTCTTGGAACCATTTCCCTGATTGACCGCTAGGTTTTATGGGTATTATGACTCCTACTGTGGTACTCTATTCCTCTTGTTGGATCAGCTAAAAAGGAGGACTAGGAAACAATGCTAAGAAAACTATCTTATTTAGTATCAGTGTTTTTCCAGACTTCCATTGTGTTTTTTCATTAAGCTATCATCATGTCAAAGATTGGTAAAATAATCGTATTAAAACTTCATTAAAACCCAATCATTGGAACGCACCCCAACCAAGCACTAAGCACGACCCCGAGTCCTCGACACTGACTAACTACAAGAGCCGGAATGCATTGCGAGAGGATTGCAACAGATGTACTTGATTTGCTCCCTATTTACGACTTACCGTATTGTGCTTTATTTACATGGCGATCCCCTTGTCCTGAAAATATGTTCAACAAGAAACCACGAAGAAACTTTAGGTAAAGGAAAGGAGAATCGAGCGATGAAGATGAACAGAAGAACGGAGAGGGTGATGACATAAGTAAAACACAAGTTACCGCTGATAGCATAAAGCCCTCCAAGTTGCCGCAGAACAAGTCGGACTCGAGTGGTGCTGAAGACGTAGTGGAAGATAGTGGACCGTTCGCTGTTACTAGACCGCCTAACAGCAAAGAGAACAAGGATGGACGAAAGAATAAAGAAAACGTGCTCAGCTTCTCTGACGACAAAGAAGGTATGCTTTTACTTTTATTTTTATTTTATTTTATAAATGTAAGCACCATAGACTGTCACCCAGTACCTGGGCTCCTCAAGCCAAGGTACTGGTTCACATAGACTGTAAAAATAAGGTAAGTACAGGCCCCAGACATTTCAAATGTCATTAAATTTACTGTACGGTGGGCGGTGCATCTACATTCTTATATGGCTTCCCTCCTTGTGCCTTCTTACTTTGTATTGATCTGAAAACACAGGACAGATGGCAGCATTATGTAAAATATCTACCAGGATATATATGTATAATATCTTCCAGGATTTTATTTTCAGCTATCCAGTTCCATAGTGCAGGTGGAGGAAAGGAGAGGAACAAGGAGAGGGGTGAATCAATTGTATTTCCTTGATTCCTCACGTCGTCTGTCTTTGCCTCTTCAAAACACATTGGAAGAGAAGATCAGAGGGACCTCAGATCTTCTGCTCCTAATGTTTTGACACGGAGACGAGGAGGGAGGATATGAGGAATCAAGAGAATACATTTGAGATTCACCCCTCTCCTTAGCCATACGGTGCATTCGGAAAGTATTCAGACACCTTGACTTTTTCCACATTTTGTTACGTCACAGCCTTATTCTAAAATTGATTCAATGGTTTTTTTCTCTCCACAATCTACACACAATACCCCATAATGACAAAGCAAAAACAGGTTTACAATATCTTGCAAATTTATAAATAAAAAATGGAAATATCACATTTTACATAAGTATTCAGACCCTGTACTCAGTACTTTGTTGAAGCACCTTTGGCAGCGATTACAGCCTCGAGTCTTCTTGGGTATGATGCTTCTAGCTCGGCACAGCTGTATTTGGGGAGTTTCTCCCATTCTTCTCTGCAGATCCTCTCAAGCTCTGTCAGGTTGGATGGGGAGCATCGCTGCACAGCTATTTTCAGGTCTCTCCAGAGATGTTGGATCGGGTTCAAGTCCGGGCTCTGGCTGGGCCACTCAAGGGCATTCAGAGACTTGTCCCGAAGCCACTCCTGCATTGTCTTGGCTGTGTGCTTAGGGTCGTTGTCCTGTTGGAAGGTGAACCTTCGCCCCAGTCTGAGGTCCTGAGCGCTCTGGAGCAGGTTTTCATCAAGGATCTCTCTGTACTTTGCTCTGTTCATCTTTCCCTCGATCCGGACTAGTCTCCCAGTCCTTGCCGCTGAAAAACATCCCCACAGCATGATGCTGCCACCACCACCATTCTTCACCGTACCGTAGGCATGGTGCCAGGTTTCCTCCAGATGTGACGCTTGGCATCCAGGCCAAAGAGTTCAATCTTGGTTTCATCAGACCAGAGAATCTTGTTTCTCATGGTCTGAGAGTCTTTAGGTGACTTTGGCAAACTCCAAGCGGGCTGTCATGTGCCTTTTACTGAGGAGTGGCTTCCGTCTGGCCACTACCATAAAGGCCTGATTGGTGGAGTGCTGCAGAGATGGTTGTCCTTCTGGAAGATTCTCCAATCTCCACAGAGGAACTCTGGAGCTCTGTCAGTGACCATCAGGTTCTTGGTCACCTCCCTGACCAAGGCCCTTCTCCCCTGTTTGCTCAGTTTTGCTGGGCGGCCAGCTCTAGGAAGAGTCTTGGTGGTTCCAAACTTCTTCCATGTAAGAATGATGGAGGCCATTGTATTCTTGGTACCCTTCCCCAGATCTGTGCCTCGACACAATCCTGTTTCAGAGCTCTATGGACAATTCCTTTGACCTCATGGGTTGGTTTTTGCTTTGACATGCACTGTCAACTGAGGGACCATATATAGACAGGTGTGTGCCTTTCCAAATCATGTCCAATCAATTGAATGTACCACAGGTGGACTCCAATCAAGTTGTAAAAACATCTCAAGGATGATCAATGGAAACAGCATGCACCTGAGCTAAATTGCAAGTCTCATAGCAAAGTGTCTGAATACTTATGTAAATAAGGTATTTCTGTTTTTTATTTTTTTAAATAAATGTGCAAACATTTCTAAACCAGTTTTTTTTTCACTTTGTCATTATGGGGTATTGTGTGTAGATTGAGGGGAAATAAATATTTAATCAATTTTAGAATAAGGCTATAACGTGAAAAAGTGAAGGGGTCTGAATACTTTCCAAATGCACTATACATACCAAGGAAGGTCTTACAGGTGTCAAGATTGGAAAACAAACCCACATTATATCTCTAAATGCAGATAATATTTTACTATTGATTTCTAACCCAGAAACCTCTATTCCCATTCTTATTGACTTAATTAAGAGATGTAGCTATTTTTCTGGCCACATAATACATTTTAATAAATCAGAAGCTATGCCTCTACGGAGCTTGAGTGACAACAACAATTTGAATGACTTCCCGTTCAATTGGACAAAAAATGGTTTTGTTTATCTTGGTTTAAACATTTTGAAGGAACTTTACAACCTGTTTAACGGCTACTTTGCACCTGTACTTATTAGGGCAGTTAAGGAAGACCTAGATAGGTGGATGGACATGCCATTTATCATGGTTGGGTAGAGTTAATATGATTTAAAAATTGTTTTCCCCAGACTGTATCCTCTCCATTATATATAACGAAAAATACTTTAAATTAACTCAAATACCTGTAAATCCAATGTAAAAATAAAGAAAAACCCTTGAATGAGTAGGTGTGTCCAAACTTTTGACTGGTCGTGTAGATTAAAATGAAAGCAGAATTGTCTGATACCTGTTGTAAGGAAAAAGGCACTCATGGCCATCTGTTTTGGACTTTAACCAGTACAAATAGCCATGGGTCCATTCTTATAGGATATATGAACATGCCCTCCATCTCCATTTTGACATTTTCCCGCAAAACAGCAGTCTCAACGTCAACAGTGAAGAGGCGACTCCGGGATGCTGACCTTCTAGGCAGAGTTGCAAAGAAAAAGCCATATCTCAGACTGGCCAATAAAAAGAAAAGATTAAGATGGGCAGTCTAAGATATGGCTTTTTCTTTGCTACTCTGCCTAGAAGGTGAGCATCCCGGAGTCGCGTCTGACACTGGTGTTTTGCGGGTACTATTTAATGAAGCTGCCAGGTGAGGACCTGTGACGTGCCTGTTTCTCAAACTAGACACTAATGTATTTGTCCTCTTGCTCAGTTGTGCACTGGGGCCTCCCACTGCTCTTTCTATTCTGGTTAGAGCCAGTTTGCGCTGTTCTGTGAATGTAGTAGTACACAGCATTGTACGAGATCTTCAGTTTCTTGGCAATTTCTTGCATGGAATAGCCTTCATTTCTCAGAACAAGAATAGACTGACGAGTTTCAGAAGAAAGTTATTTGTTTCTGGCCATTTTGAGCCTGCAATCGAACCCACAATTGCTGATGCTCCAGATACTCAACTAGTCTCAAGAAGGCCAGTTTTATTGCTTCTTTAATCAGCACAACCGCTTTCAGCTGTGCTAACATAATTGCAAAAGGGTTTTCTAATGATCAATTAGCCTTTTTAAAATGATAAACTTGGATTAGCAAACACAACGTGCCATTGGAACACAGGACTGATGGTTGCTGAAAATGGGCCTCTGTACCCCTACAGAGACCCATGGGGCGGCGCACAATTGGCCCAGCGTCGTCCAGGGTAGGGGAGGGAATGGCCGGCAGGGATGTAGCTCAGTTGGTAGAGCATGGCGTTTGCAACGCCAGGGTTGTGGGTTCGATTCCCACGGGGGGCCAGTATGATTTTTTAAAATAATAATCTATAAAAAATGATGTATGTACTCACTAACTGTAAGTCGCTCTGGATAAGAGTGTCTGCTAAATGACAAAAATGTAAATGTAAAAATCAGCCGTTTCCAGCTACAATAGCCATTTACAACATTAACAATGTCTACACTGTATTTCTGATCAATTCTATGTTATTTTAATGGCCTATAAAAAATTTACAAGGACATTTCTAAGTGACCCGAAACTTTTGATCGGTAGTGTATGTACAATTTGTGTTTGACGTTGACCTGAAACAAGAAATTATATAATGAAGAATATATATGTATCTAAAAATAGAAAATACAATTGAGATCGATTTTCCTATCTCGAGGTTAAATAAAAATATTACTATATTAAGTGCCAAATAAAGTAACCGCGTTGACTGTATCAGGGTTGATGATTTCATCTTAAGTCATCCATGAATCCCCTTGTGACACGGGGAATGGAAGCTTGTTGTGTGCAACAGGGAGGGGCAATTGAATTCAAGCTTTACAAAAAAAATTGCCTGTCTATCTATGGGTAACTGGGTTGATGTGTTATGCTCAACCCGCTAAGTTTTCTACCACAAAACACCAGAAAATTGCCAAAAAGAGTAGAACCAGCTCACCTGCTTTTACACTGATTTGACCATTTACATGTTGAAGATGTTTCTCTGGAAAAAAATATTTGAAAAGGATTAATTTGCCCATATTAAAACGAGAGTTCAGTTCACGCAACAAGGTTGACCTTAAAATGGACAGGTGTAAATAAATCACTAATCACATGAAATAAATAATAATCTTTAGAAATGACTTTGTCAAAGCAACAAACTAACTAGGGCTTTACAATGATGGAGACATTTGGGGTTAAATGGGTTCAAATCAAGTCACAGAGGGTGCACGGAGGGACGTCAACATACTGCATTTTGGCCTTTTAGCAAGTATTTTTATATACAAAATCTGTTTTATTGAATTCTCCATGTGGTCTATGTTAAAGGGCACTTCATTTAATATAACAGGCTTTTCAAAATGCAATATTGGTGTACAATTTCTACTGACATTTCAAAGAGACGCAAAAGGCACTCTTTTCGTGGAACGACCCAACTCTTCTTTTCTTCCTCTTCCCATTTGAAGGATCTGGGATCAAACTGAAGAAATGGTCAGATAAAGCTGTGGTCTTCCAAGCCAGGAGGAAGGAGGCTTCCCCTGCAAAGACTTCCCGTCCTAATGGTAAGCACAACATTGGCATTTATTGTCAAATCGTCTACTACTACAACCACAAATAATCTTAGACGAGAGACACCATAGTCACAGACATAAAAACACAATTTCTTTATGATCACCTATCTATATTGTTGTAAAAACACACCACTGTTTAGGCTACATGATTGATCTCTCTAACCATGTCTCGGTGTTGACCCCAGCCAGGAGAGATGTGACTGTGGTTGCATCCCCGAAAGAGAGGACCGGTAGCGACGTGTCCGGGGAAGAACTGTCCCCAGAGAGCGATGGAGACGCCAAGTCAACCACATCCAGCTCTGCCTCCTCCATGTCATCCATATTCTCAAAGTCTTCCAGATCCTCCAAGTCCTCCACTCAGAAACATAAACCAGGTCAGTCACGCAGATAGCTCGCTCTCCAAAGCAAAGGCTGCAATTAATTAAGTAAACAAAATCTAAGTGCAAGAATAATTCCATGCACAGTATTATCAAGAGTGAGTTTGTCACCAGTTTTTTTTTTTTTTGCATCCACACCTGTCTTTGCAAGAGACCTGTCTTTGCAAGAGCGTTCTGAACGATGTCCCTTGTGTCGTTGTGTGTAGTGGTGATCCCGGACTCGAGGAGGATCCAGGCAGCTAGGAGGCAGCGTCAGAAGGCCAGAGCCCAGAAAGACTACTTCTCCCTGGGAAGGGATGGGGAGAGCTCCCCCCGGAACCCAGACCACGAGGACCTGGAGGAACGCAGCGATGAAGGTGATGAGGATAAGCCAGATGACCATGAGAGAAGGATCAAGTTTGCCCCGCGGTCCAAAACCATCAGGGAGAGGATAGCAGAGAAGATGGGTAAGAGAGGAGGGGAACAGAATGGTCTATGGTTTTGTTCTCTCGGATGACAGTTTTAGCTTTTTTTTACTTACTTTTTTCTAACCATTAGGCTAATGCATGGATAATAAACAGACAATCTTTAATCAAACCCCAGAATGATATATGCGTCGGTTATAGAAAGTGGCGTGAGAGTTGTAGCTGAACTAACACTGAGTATACCAAACATTAGGAACACCTTCCTAATATTGAGTTGCACCCCCCCCCCCCCCCCTTTTGCCCTCAGAACAGCCTCAATTCATCAGGGCATGGACTCTACATGGTGTCGAAAGCGTTCCACTGGGATGCTGGCCCATGTTGACTCCAATGCTTCCCACAGTTGTGTCAAGTTAGCTGGATGTCCTTTGGGTGGTGGACCATTGTTGATGCACACGGGAAACTGTTGAGCGTGAAAAACCCAGCAGCATTGCAGTTCTTGACACAAACCGGTGTGCCTGGCACCTACTACCATACCCCGTTCAAAGGCAGTTAAATATTTTGTCTTGCCTATTCACCCTCTGAATGGCACATACACAATCCATGTCTCAATTGTGTCAAACCTTAAAAATCCATCTTTAACATGTCTCCTCCCCTTCATCTACACTGATTTGAAGTGGATTTAACAAGTGACATCAATAAGTGATCATAGCTTTCACCTGGTCAGTCTATGTCATGGAAAGGGCAGGTGTTCAAAATGTTTTGTATACTCGGTGTAAATCACAGCTACTTTGACTGAGTGTAAAACAACTGATTTCAGCACCATGTTTTTAGTCCTTGTTGTGTTGGTACAGGAGGTAGTGAGTGTCTTTCTCGCTGTATTTCTGTATATGGCTCTGTCGCTCACTCCCTGCTTGTGTTAATACTGGAGGGAGTGATGGTGATGATAGTGACTCTGACCAGGAAAGAGAGGATAATAACCTGTGGGAGGAGCAACAGATTGGGAAGGGAGTCAAGTGACACCCTGGAGAACAGGTAAGATACTGACCCCTCTACTTTCTAAGTCACATACAAACACACATCACTCATCTCTCTCTCACGCCATCACCTCACCGCCTCTACCTCAATCACCTTACCACCTCTCTGTCTCTGTCTGTCTGTCCCTCCAGAGTCCATCAGGCAGTGGCAGCAGTGGCTCTGTGAGGATAAGCAGCAGCAGACGGAAACAGAGAGTCAACATCCCAGAGTCTCTGCCTCCACATGGTCAAGAAGAGGATCACTGGGAAGTGAGTTCATTCATTTATCCATTCATCTGTCTTTACATTGGCCTCTCAATACTATATACCTCATGTACTCTAGCTGCAAAATAGGATGTTTGTCTAGTAAATCATCCTCCCTCCATACCTCTCCCCCTCCTCTCCTCCCCCTCACCAGACTGTGTGATCTGAGGGAGGTCCACAGGGCTCATGAGGCAGACCTGAGGAGGATGGAGGTGGACATGGACAGCTCTAGAACCTCTCTGGAGAACCTGGAGAGTGGTTCCGCCGACCGCCAACTGCGGTTCTACCGCGCCACCAACGCCTACGTTCAGAACCTGGTGGAATGTCTGAGAGAGAAGGTCAGATAACAGAGGGCTTCTGGGTAACAGGAAGAGTCTGTTGGGATGCTCTGGTGTTTTATAAGTCTTTAAAATGACAAGAAGAAGGACCTTGAGATATAATGAGCGAAAATTGAGGAAAACTAAACTTCCGGAGGACCTATCATCCTTTCACTCCCTCTACCTTCTCTTCCTCTGTATCTGCTGCTAAAGCCACTTTCTATTACTCTAAATTTCAAGCTTCTGCCTCTTTTCCACCTTCTCCTCCCTCCTCAATCCTCCACCTCCTCCCTTTGTCAACCACTTTGAAAAGAAGGTTGACGACATCCGCTCCTCATTCAGTCAGCCTATTGAGTCCACTGGTCCCACTCAAACAGAACTACCCTACACCTTGACCTCTTTTTTCCTCTCTCCAGATGAAATCCTTTGACTAGTGAGGTCCGGCCGCCCGACAACCTGCTCGCTCGACCCCATCCCCTCCAGACCATCTCTGGAGACCTTCCCTCATCCCTGGCCACTGACTGCGTCCCCTATGTCTTCAAAATGGGCAGAGTTGCTCCCCCTCAAGAAAACAACACTCAACCCCTCTGACATCAAACTACAGACCTGTATCCCTTATTTCTTTCTTTTCTGACATCCACTTGGCAACACGCATCTCTGCGTGCCTGGCAGACAGCTTAGCTTGGATGTCGGCCCACCACCTCAAGCTCAACTTTGACAAGACAGAGCTGCTCTTCCTCCCGGGAAAGACCTGCTCCGAGACCGATCCATCATGGTTGACAACTCCACGGTGTCCCCCTCCCGGAGTGCAAATAACTTTGGAGTGACCTTGGACAACACCCTGTCGTTCTCTGCAAACATCAAAGCAGTGAATCGTTCATGCTCTACAACAATTCCATAGAGTATGACGCTACCTCACACGGGAAGCGGCGCAGGTCCTAGTCTAAGCACTTGTCATCTCCCATCTGGACTACTGCAATTCGCTGTTGGCTGGGCTCCCTGCTTGTGCCATCAAACCCCTGCAACTTATCCAGAACGCTGCAGCCCGCCTGGTGTTCAACCTTCCCAAGTTCTCCCATGTCAACCCGCTCCTCCGCACACTCCACTGACTTCCAGTCGAAGCTCTCGCATCCACTACAAGACCATGGTACTTGCCTACGGATCAGCAAGAGGAACTGCCCCTCCCTACCTTCAGGCTATGCTCAACCCGAGTACTCCTCTCTTTGTCCTCCCTCCCCCTCAGCCCAGTCAAAGCTATTCTCTGTATCTTAAAGAGTGTCTTAAATAATAATAATCCCCCCCCCCCCCCCCCCCCCCCCCCTTTTTGTGAACTAACACTCGCACTTGACTCTTTCCCCCCCTACTAGCACTGACTTTGCTGATAGCTACTTTGAGGAAAAATGTACTTACTCTGAGATAAATGGTTGTGTATGCTAAATGGCTAAAATGTAATAATGTAAACCTTGTGGTAATCAGACAATGTTATTGAGGTGTGGGGGGGGTCACATTTTAAATGAAATAAACAAATATGGATTGATCATCCCTAGATTGTGGAGATCAATAGTGTGGAGGTGGACATGCACACTCTGCTGTCTGAACAGGCGGAGGCTCTGTTGTCAAGGAGACGAGAGGCCGTACAACAGGAGTCATCTCGCCTGCAGCAGCTCAGCTGTGAGTCATTCTTTGTGTGTCTGTGTGCATATACTCTGATTGTGTGGTCCCAGTCAGTGAAAAGGCGGAATGTGAACTTTCTACCATAGTTCACCTCCTCACACAGTTGATCTGTTTATTTTTTATTAGCTGTAGTTGGGTGCATTTATAGACTAATTCTCTCTCTAGATGCCACTGATCCACACTGTGAAGGAGATTCAGGGGAAAGTGTGAATGAAAAACAGAATAAAATGTGAGTGGGAATATTCCCTTTAGTACTTCCTGACACATCACATCGCTTTAGCTTTTAGATTAATTCCTTAATTCCTCACTGCATCCTGATGTACTCTATGATATGATTGTCTCTCCATCCAGTGAGCCAGGTGAGAAAGACTATGGTAGCCTGCCGGCCGACAGCGAGCTTTCACCTAAGGAAGAGGCAGAACTGCAGAAGGGGAGAGGTGAGGATTGTAGCTGTCCTGGGCGAGGACAAATGTCCTCCACTTACCAAACGTGTTGGTGACACCTTGATTTCAGCCCAGTATTTTATTTCCAAATGGGTTTGTGTAAAGAAAAATACAGAACACTTTTTTTATCGAACAATTTGCCATTCTGTTCCTTACAGAGTTAGTTAGTGCTAGCTCTCTAAAGCACAGAATTACAGACAGCGTTTTCCATCATGTCTAATCCAGCGGAGATCCTGAGCAGGTCCCAGGGGGTGTTCTGTGACGTGCAGGAGGACTTCTGGGAGGTGAAGAAGGTTCTGTCTCGCTTCGACGAGTGGAGAGGAGCCTTCTCCGAGTCCTACCACTCAGCCTACATCAGCCTCTGTCTGCCCAAACTACTCATCAGACACCAGCTCTTAGGCTGGAACCCCCTACATGTATGGTATATATACACACACACACACAAACCTAACGCAATGGTAAATCTTAGCACTGGCAGTAACGCTAATTGTATTAACCAAAATCAGTAATGAAAATTAGTACTGGAAGTCTGTGTTTTCAGGTTTATATCTGTTGACTGAGGGCTCATTTGAATTTCAAATGTGTGTAATTTGAGCGACTACCTCATTGTCATTTTCTCTCTGTGTATCAGGCTGCAGGGGAGGACTTTGATGCTCTGCCGTGGTGCTCTGCCGTGGAGACCGTCTGCCACGGACTGGGTTACCAGGAGGCAGAGCACACAGACCGGAAAACACTGCCTGCTATCATAGAGAAGACCCTGCTGCCCAAGATACAAGGTCAACACATAGACACACACACAACCTATTGATGTGTATATCACTCCCCTTTCAAAGTTGTCATGGGTGTCCCTGTGATTTTACTGAGGTGTGTCTCACTTTAATGTGTCCTCCTCCCAGGTTTTGTGGAGTTAGTGTGGGACCCTCTGTCCAGCCGTCAGTCGGTGTGTCTGTCTGAGCTGTGTCGCAGGCTGCAGGACGACTACTCTCTGTTTGAGGGAGAGCAGAGCAAACCAGTCAAGGTAACAGTTAAAACTGCTTCCACAGTGCAGAGCCCGCACTCTAGCGGTAATGCTCCCAGCCAGTCACATTTACTACTCCCCAAATGTAAAAAATATATACTACTAATAAAAAATTGCGTCCACAGACAATCCAACATTCGGACCATACTCTATTCATGGTTCTAGTCACAAAGATTGCCAACCAGAAAGTTGACTGGCTGTAGTCACAAAATGGGAGAACACCTTTTTGAAACCTAACTACTACCTGTGAGTGTGTCAGAATTTAAATAAGTCCTGTTCACTCTCTGTCCCTGTCCTGTCCCCTGCCAGGCTTTTGTAGAAGCAGTGAGTGGCAGATTGGGGAGTTCAGTGGATGATGACATCTTCATTCCTCACTACCCTAAGAAGTGAGTGAATTCACCAGTTATCTCAACACTTAGAGGATATGTGATTCTTTAAGTAGTTACTGGAATTCATGTGTTTATACCAAGCTTGTCATACCGTAGCTCACAGTACTTTACCATAACTGCCTGGTGCTTTGGCAGGTTTTTAGACGACAAGTCTTCTCCACAGAGGAGGTCCGGAGACCAGCAGTTCTGGACAGCTATGAAGGTACGTAACAACACTCAGTTTAAAGATGATTTTCAACGATGCGTTTTCTAAGAGAGGGGTATAGTGGACTGTAGTGAGTGACCATGTGGCTCAGTTAGCCCATTACCACTTCTACCAATAATCAAGTCCAGTCAAGAGAGAGTGCTTTCGTCACAGCTCCTTGTGTGCTGGCATGTGCAGCTATCCCCTGCCTTTACTGCGTGGTCTCTCTAGCCATTTCTGTAACATCCAATGCATTGCTTTAGTGGTGTTTCTATCTTGTATATTAGCTCCTAGGTAACATGGGCCAGTGGGATGGTTTGATACCTGAACACGCTCTAAAGGAGCTGATGTTGGACAAACTCCTGAACCGCTACCTTATGACGACGCTACTCAACGAGACCCAATCTCAGGACTCTGTCAATAAATGTAAAAAGGTGTGTAGGTGAATTGCATGTGTCTAATGTTAATGTATTGTCTATGGGGGTTTCAAGGTGTTTGCTAGGGGAATAATTGCTCTGCTGTCTTCAATATGGCTCAGTTTAGTGGTGTCATCTTCAAGTTTTTCTCAAATTAACTGAGATTTATCTCTCTCTCTCATCTTTCTCGCTGAGCAGGTTGCGGCGTGTTTTCCTCAGTCCTGGTTTAAAGACGTGAGCTCCTGTCCCTCTCAGCTGAAGTCCTTCAGTGATCACCTCCTCCAGGCTGCCCATTCAGTCTACAAACAGCAGCCTGACCACCCCAACACACGGTAGCACTGCCTACCTACCTCAAATATACTTTTACGATAGGTATAATCATGTGACATGGTCAGGATAGTGTTTTGATGTTAATGTATGTAATGTGGTTTCTATTTCCTGTAGGGCCGTGGTGAGCGATGTGCTGACTGTTCTGGGAAGCATCAAGGCCTGGGACAAGGTGTCGACGATATCAGACAAATACCTGTCCTAGTGTGGCCTATTGTGTCAACCATACATCATGTCATATTTGTTGTAATTTTGTACATTACAAAACCTGTATTTTTTGAATAAATAAATATTATAATTCTAACAGATGTTTGGTCCAGTTCCCCTCCAAACTGTTTTTATTTTTGTTTCTGTCTTACCTCTTTAAGAAAAAGTTAGAGGGCTTGTAGCTTCATCCCCAGGGCTGAGTATGCTTCATTCTTCCTTCAAAAAATGTGTATACCCTTAGTGTGTATATGAGGAGAAAACAACTTATTTTACAGTATGTAATGGCCGTGGAGTTTATTTATTGACGTGCAAAATGTATCACGGATGGCAGGCAGATGGCACAATTTTTCCTTTTAAGTCGTTTGTCTGCGTCCAACTGGAATCTATGCAGCCGGCTATACACTCATGTCCCTCAGCAACCGGCTCGTACATAAAACATCCTCCATTCAGGCTGCAAGGGCATCAATTTCCTTCTTAACTAGCTTTAATGGCGAGCCACTGGGGGCAGAAAACTGGAAAAACGCATACGGTCTTAATAAAACACAATTTTTCCTCCACCATGCTAGAGTGGCTAATGCTACTTCCCAATAATAATAATAATATGCCATTTAGCAGACGCTTTTATCCAAAGCGACTTACAGTCATGCGTGCATACATGTTTAATTTTTATTTTATTTATTTTTTATTTTATTTTTTTATTTTTTTGTATGGGTGGTCCCGGGGATCGAACCCACTATCTTGGCGTTACAAGCGCCGTGCTCTACCAGCTGAGCTACAGAGGACCACGATGTTGCACACTGCGTTCAAACGGGGAAACAACAGACTGCTGCAACCTGATTGGCTGAACATCAGGAAGTAGCATTAGCCATACATTTTTCTAAATGAATCCAATCTTTTAGTAGTTGGACTTGTACCTGTTACTGAGATGGCTGTTCCAGTTTATATGATTTAGGTAGTCTCAATCAATCCCTACCCCGTAAGTCATTCTGAAAGCAGGTTGCGGTGATTTAAAAGTTCCAATTGTTGGACATCCTCACTGGCTGGATTCCAATAGGAATTACACATCACTTTGCAAGCCAGCATAATGTGGCTTGCAGGCTTAATGGTCTAAACCAATTTGAAACCAATGTGTTAGGGTGTTATTCTCAAAGAAAGGCCTTATGATACAGGTATAGTGCATTCGGAAAGTATTCAGACCCCTAGATGTGACGCTTGGCATTCAGGCCAAAGAGTTCAATCTTGGTTTCATCAGAAAAGAGAATCTTGTTTCTCATGGTCTGAGTCCTTTAGGTGCATTTTGGCAAACTCCAAGCGGGCATTCATGTGCCTTTTACTGAGAAGTGGCTTCTGTCTGGCCACTCTACCATAAAGGCCTGATTGGGGAGTGCTGCAGAGATGGTTGTCCTTCTGGAATGTTCTCCCATCTCCACAGAGCAACTCTGGAGCTCTGTCAGAGTTACCATCGGGTTCTTGGTCACCTCCTTGACCAAGGCCCTTCTACTCCGATTGCTGTTTGGCCGGGCGGCCAGCTTTAGGAAGAGTCTTGGTGGTTCCAAACTTCTTCCATTTAAGAATGATGCAAGTATAAACACCATGGGGCAATGCAGCTGTCATACCGCTCAGGAAGGAGATGCGTTCTGTCTCCTAGAGATGAACGTACAAATTGTTTTGTTTCTACACACAATACCCCATAATGACAAAGCAAAAACAGTTTTTTAAATTTATTTTAGCAACAAAATAAAAACTGAAATATCACATTTACATAAGTATTCAGACCCTTTACTCAGTACTTTGTTGAAACACCTTAGGCAGTGATTACAGCCTCGAGTCTTCTTGGGTATGACGCTACAAGCTCGGCACAGCTGTATTTGGGGAGTTTCACCCATTTTTCTCTGCAGATCCTCTCAAGCTCTGTCAGGTTGGATGGGGAGTGTCGCTGCACAGATATTTTCAGGTCTCTCCAGAGATGTTCGATCGGGTTCAAGTCCGGGCTCTGGCTGGGCCACTCAAGGACATTCATAGACTTGTCCTGAAGCCACACCTTTGTTGTCTTGGCTGTGTGCTTAGAGTCGTTGTTCTGTTGGAAGATGAACCTTCGCCCCAGCCTGAGGTCCTGAGTGCTCTGGAGCAGGTTTTTATCAAGGATCTCTCTGTACTTTGCTCCGTTCATCTTTCCCTCGATCCTGACTAGTCTCCCAGACCCTGCCGCTGAAAAACATCTCCACAGCATGATGCTGCCACCACCATGCTTCACCGTAGGGATGGTGCCAGGTTTCCTCCAGACGTGACGCTTGGCATTCAGGCCAAAGAGTTCAATCTTGGTTTCATCAGACCAGAGAATCTTGTTTCTCATGGCCTGAGAGTCCTTTATGTGCCTTTTGGCAAACTCCAAGCGGGCTTTCATGTGCCTTTTATGGCCACTCTACCATAAAGGCCTGATTGGTGGAGTGCTGCTGAGATGGTTGTCCTCCTGGAAGGTTCTCCCATCTCCACAGAGGAACTCTGGAGCTCTGTCAGAGTGACTGTGGTTTTTGGTCACCTCCCTGACCAAGGCCCTTCTCCCCCGATTGCTCAGTTTGGCTGGGCGGCCAGCTCTAGGAAGAGTCTTGGTGGTTCCAAACTTCTTCCATTTAAGAATGATGGAGGCCACTGTGTTCTTGGGGACCTTCAATACTGCAGAAATGTTTTGGTACCCTTCCCCAGATCTGTGCTTCGACACAATCCTGTCTCTGAGTTCTACGGACAATTCCTTCGAACTGTTAGCTTGGTTTTTGATCTGACATGCACTGTCAACTGTGGGACCTTACATAGACAGGTACAGTGGGGAAAAAAAAGTATTTAGTCAGCCACCAATTGTGCAAGTTCTCCCACTTAAAAAGATGAGAGAGGCCTGTAATTTTCATCATAGGTACACTTCAACTATGACAGACAAAATGAGGGAAAAAAAATCCAGAAAATCACATTGTAGGATTTTTTATGAATTTATTTGCAAATTATGGTGGAAAATAAGTATTTGGTCAATAACAAAAGTTTCTCAATACTTTGTTATATACCCTTTGTTGGCAATGACACAGGTCAAACGTTTTCTGTAAGTCTTCACAAGGTTTTCACACACTGTTGCTGGTATTTCTCTAGCAAACTTCAGACGGGCCTGGACATGTACTGGCTTAAGCAGGGGGACACGTCTGGCACTGCAGGATTTGAGTCCCTGGCGGCGTAGTGTGTTACTGATGGGAGGCTTTGTTACTTTGGTCCCAGCTCTCTGCAGATCATTCACTGTGTGATTCTGGGATTTTTGCTCACCGTTCTTGTGATCATTTTGACCCCACGGGGTGAGATCTTGCGTGGAGCCCCAGATCGAGGGAGATTATCAGTGGTCTTGTATGTCTTCCATTTCCTAATAATTGCTCCCACAGTTGATTTCTTCAAACCAAGCTGCTTACCTATTGCAGATTCAGTCTTCCCAGCCTGGTGTAGGTCTACAATTTTGTTTCTGGTGTCCTTTGACAGCTCTTTGGTCTTGGCCATAGTGGAGTTTGGAGTGTGACTGTTTGAGGTTGTGGACAGGTGTCTTTTATACTGATAACAAGTTCAAACAGGTGCCATTAATACAGGTAATGAGTGGAGGACAGAGGAGCCTCTTAAAGAAGAAGTTACAGGTCTGTGAGAGCCAGAAATCTTGCTTGTTTGTAGGTGACCAAATACTTATTTTCCACCATAATTTGTAAATAAATTCATTAAAAATCCTACAATGTGATTTTCTGGATTTTTTTTCTTCTCAATTTGTCTGTCATAGTTGACGTGTACCTATGATGAAAATTACAGGCCTCTCTCATCTTTTTAAGTGGGAGAACTTGCACAATTGGTGGCTGACTAAATACTTCCCCCCCCCCACTGTATGTGACTTAAATCATGTCCAGTCAATTGAATTTACCACAGGTGGACTCCAATCAAGCTGTAGAAACATCTCAAGGATGATCAATGGAAACAGGATGCACTTGAGCTCAATTTCGAATCTCATATCAAAGGGTCTGAATACTTATGTAAATAAGGTATTTCCGTTTTTTATTTGTACTAAATGTGTAAAAAAAATTACAAACCTGTTTTCGCTTTGTCATTATGGGGTATTGTGTGTAGATAATTTAATCAATTTTAGAATAAGGCTGCAACGTAACAAAATATGGAAAAAGGGAAGGGTTCTGAATACTTTCCGAATGCACTGTAGTGTATGTTACTTTTAACATATAACATTCTTGTTGAATAGCCAGTTCTCTTTTTGAGTTTGCATTAAATATTGTACACTCCAGATAAACATTATTTGAACATATCTGAATGTCTAACATCTGTTTGATGCTACAGAGCCCTGTACAGTTTACAGTATAAAGAAAGGGAAGTTTAGGCATAACCCCAGAGCGATAGAGATATGCAGGTAGCATCAGGGGCGGTGTGTTCAATAGGGCGATATGGGCGACGCACTGCCAAACGGGAAAAGGAAGGGATTTTTTTTCTAATCAATTATATCACGGCAACAGTAGTTATCAGTGTTGTAATCTAGACGTCTGGTGTGATCTGCCACTAATCTGTCCAATCAGGCTAAAGTCGTGCTTCAAATGGCCACCCCCCCTTTTGGGGCGATTTCAGTCAGGTTGAAAATCGCCCAGAAGTCTGTCATAGACTCCCATGTAAAATCTATTTTTTTCAAATATCAGAGCTTTCAATACAATCTCTATGGGTGTCTGAGGGCTTGCACTTACGCGCTTTCGTCATACGTAACATAACCATGAACGTAACTAAGAAAAGAGCGGGTAGCCTCATCAATCAATTCACTATTACTGTCAAAATGGCAGTGCAACTCGATTGTCTCTTTGAAAGAAGTTCCTTTTTGTCGGCGAACAAATCAAGATAAATTGGCAACGAAACAATTAGGACCTCCCAGACCAAATTTAATAATTCAACAGGTTTCTACTAAAGGCGGAAAGTCCTACACCCGAGGATTTTCCAAAAATTGGTACGAACGAAAAAATAACATTGCCAC